GACTTTCGGCCAAGGTGACAGGTCGGAAGGGACAACGAAATGATTACCAGACGATAGAAGCAAAGATCGAAGACAGAAAGAAGGTTAAGCTTTCTATCTCTAATTCATCTCTATATTCCACTTCTCTCTCTAACTTGCTCGTCGGAGGGTTCGCTGGGGGACTCCCCGTTCCCCGTTGAACTCTTGTGCAGATCTTTGGGTGGGCTTGGTCATCCGGATTCCGGTTTGGGAAGTGTGGATAAGTCCGACCCGTTCCGTCTAAAACCCCCTGCATCATCAAAATCTAATACTCTGTTAGATCATTTGGAAAGAATTAAGAAATAATGTTTTAGGATCTCTCATACATATAGACTTGATAATTGCGGAGTAAAAAAAGCATTTATTGTAATATATTTGTTGTTAAGGATGTGCATGACTCAATTTAGGGGTTGTTTGGGAAGTGCCAAATTAGTATACTTTTTAACATTTTACCCCAAAAAAAAAAACATAAAATATAGGTTGAGTTTTAAGTGATGTGACCGAAATAAGATGATTGTAACTCAAATAAGATAATGTGCTAAAATAACACATGCTATTTTAGCACATGCCAAACAAGGCCTTAGTTTGAATCAAGAGTAAATTACATCATTGGTCTCTATAGTTTTAATTTGAACAATTTGATCCTCACACTTTTAATTTTGTTGCAATATGATTCTTCCGTCACTTATTGTTAAAATTTTGAACCAAAAAAAGACCCTGTGTAAAAAAACAAAGTTGAAAAACAAAGCAAGGTTTAAGAAAAGCATCAAAAAGTCGATTGGAATAAATTGATTTGATACCCCCAGCAAGTATTCATCATGTGGATGTGTTTATACTTGGCAAATTGAATACTAAAAACAGACTGAAAATGTGAAATGGCATTGATAATGTTGATTGTTGTTTTGTGCAATAGGAAAGAGGAGACTCACATGTACTTGTTATTTGAATGCCCTTTCTCAAAAGTTGTGTGGGCTTTTTTTCTTCTGAAGAATCATATAGGGTGGAACTCAATGGATATGGACGCTCAAATAAAATGGGCTATTCAGAACTGCATGCCATCATTCAGGAAGATTATCTTGAGGCTCAGTTTGGTTGCTATTATGCCGCGTTTGGGCTAAAAGACATTACAGGACTTTCCAGAACAAAGCTCTTGATGTTGATGTAGTAATCTCCAAAATTGAGAAGAATTTGAGATCCAAATATGCTCTTTCAGGAGAATGAAAAACTCATATTGTAATTGGCTTGTATGTATAGACTGGGGAACAAGGATGGACAGAAGGGGGGCTGGCAAGGGCGGCTGTCACCCCAAAGTTTTGAAAAAATTCCTTAGATATAGTAATAAAATTATAAATATTTTTAAATTATACAGGTTCGTCACTTTAAAGTTTTTGTAAAAAATTTATGAACCGCCACCCTCTAGATTTTGTACTTTAAAATTTAAAAATTTATTTATTTTTTGATAAATACTAAAAATAATAGTAATAATAATTTATTTTTTAAGTATGATTACTTTTTTATTTTAAATTTAGTGATGTTAAAATAATTGAGAATTTATTTGTTAATATTTTAAAGTCTTTTTTGTTTGATTAGGGCCCAAATTTTTTAGTTGTTTGCTTATAACTAAATAAAAATAAATAAAAATGATTACTCAAGAAGATACACGTCTTAATCATATGTAGGCAACCGTAGCCTACCTACAGCAATCATCATATATTCAAAACAAAGAAACTTCTCTTCTCTCTCTTATTTCAAAACCAGTGAACCCAAATCATCAAAACCAATGACCCAAAACACAATCTCTCTCTCATGCATCGTGAGTCTTCTGGCGTTCAAGATCATGATTCCTCCGGCAGTACTCCGGTACACTTTCTCTCTCTCTCTCTCTCTCAAAGAGTTAGGGTTTATTATTTGAGAAAAAAATATTAGACTATGAACTTGGTGATGCTGGTAATGGAACCATTTGTGTAATTTTCAGTCAACTATTTATACTTTTATATTACATTTCTATTGCCATGTTGCTTGTTATGTTAATTTTTTTATTGTTTACCCATTGAAAATGACATGTCCTTTGTTAGAGTAGATTATATTGTTAGTGTACTTCTTACCTAATGAGTAACAAACTTTGTTTAATAATTTTCAAGTTCTTATCTTAAATCAAAATTGAGTTGAATGTTAGGTGAATTATGGTGAACAAAAAAATTGATTCTTTCTTTAAGAAAAGAGGCTCTCAAGATATAGATATTGTATATCACATACCCAAATTAATATTGTATATCACACGCTCATTACAATTTTTTTAATTGCATATACATTCACCCCCGACATTAGAACACTACGTCCATCTGCCGGGGGATCTACTAGAACTTTTATGCTGTGTTTGGTTAGGGGATTTGGAAAGGGAAAGGGAAAAAGTGTGTGAAACTAGGCGAAATATAGGCATGTTTTATTCACATTTCACCTTCCTTTTCCGTTTCCCTTTCCAAATCCCTCCTAAATCCTTCAACCAAACACGGCGTTAGTGGTTAACGACTTAAGAGTTGTTTCTTTTAGAATGCTTTACTGTTGGTTAGTAAAAGCAGCAAAAGCAATGAGGTTGTTTCTGTGTGTAACTCTCATGAAATTTCTAATTAGGAGGATGGTTCTTCCAGTGGGTGCGAATTGATTCAAAATTGCAGAACATTTTCTGCTCCTCTGTCAGATTTGTATGGTTGATGCTCCATACTCGAGGATGGGTTGTTTCTTTAGAGGCTTTGGTCTTGTTTTGTTGATTGCTCTCTTTATGGCTGGAAGTGGGCTTGATGATCTTTCCTCTGCTGCAACTCATGAAATTGTGGTGTTGGGTGTTGTCCTTCATTTTGGTTAGTCTGATGATGCTCTCAGTTTTTTATGGTTGATGCTCTATTTTGGTGTGCAAGTACTCTAGGTGGTGTTTGCTTTTGTTATTTGCTTGAGTTGTTTAGTTATTGTTTTTGTTTGGTGTCTTTGCCGTATCTTCGTGTAGGTGGTTTGGGAGGGAAAATTTATTCACACAAGGCAAAAGATATACAGATCTCATTTGTTGAACTAATCAAGAAGTCCCACAAAAAGTACAAAATGAACTAATAGCGTGATGTGTATCGTTCATATGTGTGTGAATAAATTTGCACTCGATTGTTTAATGTCATTATCTTGTCAACTTGATTTAATTTTACTTATGATGACTTGTTGCACAGGGTCAGCCCTGAGGTGAGGCCACTAAGGCAACCCCCAATTTTGAACAAAATTTAGGATTCCTAATTGGGAGAGTGTATTATGTCGTGTTATTTCATAATTACTTTAATATTAGTTCAATTCATTTATTTTCATGCTATTGTATGGTGTTATTTTGATTCGTGTCCGATTGATATTTAATGTGAAAACTTTTACTTTTAGTTAAAAATAACTTAGCAAGTGTATGAAGAGATTAAAATTTTTCCCATAAGTTGAATTTTATAAAATTTATTCTACTAAATGAAATTATTCATAGAATGTTTGATTTTAATTCAATTACATTTTTCTAATTAAAAAAATTGTACCTTATTACTATATATTTTCTATTAGATTGACTCTAAAATAGGTAACAGAAAAATACATATCTTAAATGAAAAAAAGATATTAGCCTTAATTATTATTGTACATACTTTTTCATTCAGTTAGATGGAGTTAAATAAAAGATTAAAAAAATGTCATCGCATCCCTTAGTGAACATTAAAATATATAACTAATAATTCATATTATTGAGCCGTGCTATACTTAGATTCATATTGAAAAATAGTCAACCCTAACTTACTAATTTTATATATTACTTGAGTTGTGTCGAAAATTCTCATTTTTACCCCCAATTAATTTTAGTTCTTATAGCATTGGTAAGCTAAAAATAAAGATTCGATTCAACTAATTGAAGTTTAACTATATATATATATATATTTGTTATCTAAATTTTGTTAAATTGTAATGTAATAGAAATAAATTTTTATTCTTTTTGTTTTATCCAAACAAATTTTTTTTAAGGTAATGATACATGAAGGGTCCAATTTAAAATTTCACCTTAGGCCCCTAATAACTCAAGGCCGGCACTGTTGTTGCATATGCCAACTTTGTTGGGATATTCTCTAAAACAATCATACATTTGTTCTAAATCATTCTTATCAATGTAATTTTATTGTACTTCTTGTATTACTTTATTCATCAATAAATCTTTTAAATTGCCGATTAAAAAGAAATAATAATAATTAGCAAGGGAGTTCTTGGAGGGTTTTAGGGTGTATATGTTAGAGGGTGATTCAATTATAGTTTCTCATCTCTTATATGCAAACGATATGATTACTTTTCACAAGGATGATCCTATGCAATTTGGTTAACTAGTTTCGTGGTATCCTTATATGTGGGTGTTTGAAAAATTATTATTTTAGTAAATTATTTTAGTTTTTTATTATTTTAGGAGGTTAAAATTTTTATATTTGAAAAGATAGTTAGATTTTTTTGTAGTTGGATATGATGCTTATAAAAGAAAAAATGAAATGATTACGGATTTGATATTATATTTTGTCTTATTAATTATTCTAGTCTATTTTATCTTTTAGTACTATTTTAACTAAAAAAAGCTACAAAAAGCTCTACCCAAACACCCCTAACTTGGCTATATCAAAAAAAAAGTCCTAGAATTTCTTTAGTTATGATATCATTATGAGATGTTTAGGTTAATAGAATTATACACACTAAATAAATAGTATACTAACTAATATGTGATATAATTTTATTGATTTTAAATTGTTGTAGTTTGTATAATAAGTGAAATCTATAATTTTAAAACTATAATATTATATAACATGTTTTAATTTACTAACTAATATAATAATTAATATGTATTTTTTTAATTATGATTCAAAAAATATATGATTATGTAATTTTTTTTTTTTATAGAGTTTATAAGGTTATTACCGATAAAATAATAGAATAATATTTACACAACTAAACCGTTCGAAACCTTTACCTTCTCTCTCTCTCTCTCTCTCTCCGTGACTTGGAATCGGACATGGATGAGAAGCAGAGCTTCGAAGCTCTCAAACAACAAGAACCAGTGAAGAAGACGATACCACACGAAGAACAAGGAGGAGGAGGAGAAGACGAAGATGAGGAATTCGATGAAGTTGATGACGACGACGACGACGGTGGTGCTGAAGGTGAAGTTGGTGGTGAGCAGAGGAAGCAACTCAGTGAGTTACCGCCAATTGAAACTCGGTACGGAGCTTCTCAATCTGAAACCCTAGCCTCTGCTTCGTCCGAGAATGATCTCCCCTCCGATTTTCATACTTCCTCTCACCTACTCTCAGGTCTCTCTCCCTCCCTCCCTCTCTCTCTCTCTCTCTCTCTCTATATATATATATATATATATATATGTATGCATGTTCTCTCTCTCTCTCTCTCTCTCTCTCTCTATATATATATATATATATATATGTATGCATGTGTGTATATGTGTGCATGTATATGTGTGTGTGAAGCTGACAGTAAAGGAAAATGATCTGACAGAGGTGCCGGTGGATTATGCTCTTCTACGGCCGCTGGTGTCGACTGAATTCAAGGTTAGAACTGTTCCTAATCTTATCTTCTACTGATTATTATTGAGTTTCTCATTTCAATTATGTTTGATGCATTTTTTTTTTTTAATTCTGTTTCGCATGAATTGGTGAGCTTCTGTGATTGTGAATTTGTTTCAATTAGGCATTTGGTGGCTGAAAATTTTGAATTTGGATGATTCATGAGCTTGTTCATGGGAACGATATATTGTTGTAGTAGTAGTTATTTGCATCATGCATTTAGGTTTTTCTTCAATTAGTTTTGTTTTCCATGTTTTCCCTTTTGAGACTATAAAAACTTGAGCGTACAGGGATTTAATGTAGTTCTGTTTGATTGCTGAAATATGAGGTTTCTGTCTTAGAATTATAGCTTTGTGTGTTATCCAGTAGTTTTTGCAGGCGATAGGGTCCTGTTGATCATATTTTGCAGTTCCAGGGTGTTGAACAACCTGGAATTACTGAGTATATCAATTGGGGATTTGCCTCGAATTCTGAAATCTGTCAAAATGCACCACAAAGTCTGTATATGGTCATCCCCAAGTCAAATGGCTCACTAGAGATTGGACTCTGAGAGTGGAGATGTATATTCATCACTGGGAGGGCTTTGTGTTGCAATAGAGAAATAACTAGATAGTGGAACTGGAATAGAATGCATTTCAATGTAGTGGGAGTAGAGCTTTTGGAAAATATAGGTAAAGTGATTGCTGTAGTTATTGTAAATTTAAAAGGGCAAACCTCACTTTACCCCCTGTGGTTTGGGTTGGGTGCGGTTTACCCCCCGGACGTTTGGAAATAACCACACAGCCCCCTATAGTTCTAGAGCAAAACACACGCTAAATTCTATTAACAGAATAAGTAAATTGACCTTTATACCATAGTCTTCTTCCTCTTATCTATTTTGAATTAAACCTGTAAACATATAATATACACACTGCATCCCAGTCACCCTTACACCCCACACCCTCTCCGATTGGCTTCTACTTCAGACAATCCGTCGGCATGTCACTCCTTATGGCGTGATTGTTCTCTTGTTGTTGCTTTGTGTTGCCATTTCCGACATTGGGGAAGCTTTGTTGGTGTTGAAGTTTGGCCCGTTAGTGCTAGAGCTTGCCTCCCTTCTCCGGCGTCTTTGTATCCACGATTCTCTGACGTTTATGCACCGTGGCAGGCCTGACTTGCCGACACTGGTGTGTCACCACCATTCTTTCCTTCGTTCTTGCTGTTCATCTGCCTTTGTTACCGTCAGTTTGCTTCTCCAGAAAAGGTCTGATCTGATGAGGGCTGCTACCTCTTCTTCCCTCCCATAACACCTTCTACCACCTCCTTCTCGAGCAGTAGAAAACCCAATCTGTTCAATCCCATTGATAATAATCAAACTATGGAAACTAGGAAACAAAATTATGTTCATATATGTTTATACATGGACAACCCAGAAACAATCCCATTGATGGCCCTATCTATTACGCATATGTTTATATATTTTTTTAATCCCCACCATTTGTTCAAGCGGGATATATAACAGGTATATATGTATGTATACTGTATATATATGTACAATTAGAAATGAAATTAAACAAGTAATTATGTTAAAAAATTATACATTAGATTATGAATTAGGGATATTTGAATTAATATGTAATTTAATTAGTTAATATGAGATTATGTTAAAAAATTATGTGAAAATAAAAATACAGATTATATACATAATATATATATATATATATATATGCATTTGAATTGGTTGAGACCCGGCGGGCGGTCAAGGCAAGGTTGCCGCCCGCCGGAAGGCGAAGAACACTAAGATCTTTAACCTTGCTCTGATACCAAGTAAGAATTTATGTAATTTATTGATTGATGTTATTGTTTGATTGATTAGTACAAATGTGAGAGGCTCCTTATATAGGAGATATAGGTGTAGTAGGTGAAGTGGAGGTGGTAGTGGTGTAGGTGAAGTAGAGGTGGTAGTGGTGTAGTGGGTTAGGTGAAGTGGAGGTGGTAGTGGTGTAGGTGAAGTGGAGGTGGTAGTGGTGTAGTGGGTTAGGTTTAGTGGAGTAGGTGAGGTGGTAGTGGTGTAGGTGAAGGTAAATTCTAACAATATGTTATTCTTTATGGAAAGTTTGTGTGGATCAGTGGTTTGGGGTGGCGAGGTGGGGTTGGCAAGGTAAAAGGAAGAGGAAAGGGACGTTGTTATGGGGATGGTAAAGGGGAGTGAATAGAGAGAGAGAAACAGTAGAGAAAGAAGAAGGAAGAAGAATCAATGGGTGTGTTTGGTTTGTGTTTTAAAATCAGTTTTTGAGAGAGAGAAAAAAAAGTAAAAAACGTGTTTGGTAATGAATTTTCTAAAATATTCTCTGATGACTATGGCCTTGTTTTGGTTTGGATTTGAGAGAAAGATTTTTGAAATATGCTCTACAAACACATTTTTGGGAGTAATCAAACAAAATAGATTTTCTAAAAAAACTCTCAAAAATGTGTTTGGTTTGACTTTTTCTAGGATAAGTTTTGAAACATGTTTGCAAACACATTTTGAAAAAAAATCTCAGAAATCTGTTTGGTTTGATTTTTGTACAAAAATAAATAAAAAAACACCCTAAATTAAAAATAAAAATAAAAAAATCTTCAAAAATGCACAAAAATAAAATAAAATAAAAATTTAAAAAAATTATACATAATTGGATTTTGCAATTTTTATACGTAGTTGGATTTTTCATTTGTAATACATCATTTTCATCTTTTATATGTAATTAACATATTTTCTCAAATGATTTACTGCCATATTTTATGTGATTAACATATTTTTCTAAATACAATATTCGTTTGATATTGGTAGGAACACCCCCCCCCCCAAAAAAAAAAAAATCTTTTTGGTTTGATTACTCCAAAAAATGTGTTTGTGGAGCATATTTAAAAAATCTCTCTCTCAAATCCAAACCCAACAAGGCCAATGTGTTTGGTTTCAATTTTCTGGATTCAAATTTTTGAAAATTGAGGGTATGTTTGGTTTGGATTTGTAGAGTGATTTTGAGAAAAAAAATTTAAAAAACTTGTTTGGTTGGTAATTTTTCCAAAACAATTTTCAAAATCGCTTTCTCTCTCTTATACATCAATTAATTAATTTTTCTTTCTCCTCTCTACTTCTCGATCACTTTTTCTCTCACACACATCTACTCAATTACAACAAAATATCAAATCATTCCAAACTCCCAAACTCCAAAACTACTTTCAAAATACACAACCAAACAAACTAAAAAAATTTCTAAACTCTCTTCCTAAAATAATTTTTAAAAACTATTCTCTCATAACCAAACCAAACATACCTTGAGTTTTTATTGTATTTTGTATTTTTTTTTTAGTGAATATTTTTAAAATTTTAATAAATACACAAGAATACGAAAATGTACCGAATTTTCATAATCCTTTTTTTTTTTTTGGTATTTAGTTAATTTTTTAAAGATTTTTGACAAAAAAATTATAGTTTTTAAGTGTATTTATGTTTGGTGTATTTAAAATTTTGAAAAATTGCTTAAAATATTACAAAAAAATATGAAAAATAAAAAATTTAAGTTTTCTGAAAAGTGAAACCAAACAAGCTATGGTATTTTGTGTAAATTTGAAGGTGAACAAGGGGTAATTTAGTCTTAAAAATTCACTTACTCTCTTTCCAGATGCGTGAGCCTCACATTCCTGAAAAGTGAAACCAAACAAGCTATGGTATTTTGTGTAAATTTGAAGGTGAACAAGGGGTAATTTAGTCTTAAAAATTCACTTACTCTCTTTCCAGATGCATGAGCCTCACATTCCGTTAACTTGGAAAAGTTCATGGTGCGCTTTGGTCCAGCGGGGTTATGTGGTTATTTCCAAATATTAGGGGGTAAACTGCACCTGGTCCAAACTACAAGGGGTAAAGTGAAGTTTGCCCAATTTAAAATTAGGATAATAACGTTGAAAGTCAGTCTTCTAGATTAGTGAAGTACTTCTAGATACGTTCATTGCATTTTTCCTTTCTAAATTGGCCCTTCATAATTATTGGTCTTTGTCTAGTTAATAGCGAGCAGGTTCATATTATGTTATGATATACTTATTTTCTCTTTGATTTCCATACGTCTTTGTCTTAGAGTTAGATGTTAGGAATTTTGTCTATTTTGTCTATGCCATGCTGCATTTCACTGTCTTGAGGCTCATTGTTTTTCAGACCTCATGCCATATTTACAAGAACATTCTCGTTGTTTCTAAACTGCATGTAAATAATTATTTTAAGACATCAAGGTGTTTGAGTCATTTGGATGAGGGAGAAACAAACTAGGGAAAGGCTTTGACAACTAAATTATGGATAGATGGGTTAAGTAGGCAGGCAATCTTACCTCCACTTTTTTTCTTTTTCCTTTGTGTGGGGAGACTAGTTCATGTGACCCGAACCCAAGGCACAACACTAGAGGCGGATAGTACTTGCCATCACACTAGGTCATGATCTCTAGAATTAAACCTGTAGATTTTGTTAATATAATTAAAAAAAAATTCTATAAGTAAAATTTGATAAATCAATGCGTGATTGCAGCTAATAATTCAATTTTCAGCCATTCATGTGTAATGTAATTATAGTAAAATATCTCATCGATTTCATTTGCTGTTGAAGTTCATTGTCCCTGCAAAGAGAGGAAGTGGGATGAGGGAAGGAGTCCTGAGGTTAAGGTTTTCGGTCATAATGGGAAATGTTTGACAGTCAAGAACTTTGACAACTAAATTATAGATTGAGTGACAGCTACAAAAAGGTTTCTGATAAAGGAAGCAAGTCTTTTGAATGTTCATAAATCTACGAGTAGTTAGCTTACCCATACAACGGAATTTTCACTGTTTTTCTGGGTGTCGATGTATTTCATAACCGAACTGATAGCATACCTATTTTAAATCTTAGGTGGTCTAATTTAGCCATACTCACTTTTGTTATGGTTAGCAATATTATATTGTACGAAGAAGCAAAGAACAAAAACCACATTTAGTATATCCTGTGCCAATGAATTGACCATTTGCAAATGACTCGGGGTTATACTTCTGTTTTTCCAGGCAAAATGCTGAAGTCTTTATCTTGATTCCCTCAAGTGCTTCTTCATAAACCTTTGTATCTATCGAAGTATCTGCCAACATCATTCAACCACTCAAGATTTACAGCAACATCCACATTTTAAACATTTGTATGCAATGTTAGGGAACAAACAACTAGACACAGTTGTCACTATAGGTATTGACTATTGTGGAAGCTAGCAGAACATGCACAGCCCCCAAACAACTACTTTGTTACAGATTTTCAGTCTGCTCTAAAATTCAATGGTAAACTTTCAGAAGTTAGTTTTCTCATAAAAGTTTTTATTTTGTTAAACTCTCTTTTTGGTGGTATAGCTAAATATGTGAATAAGTTACTAGAATATCCCACATTTCTAATCATACATCTTAATTATCTAAAGTTAAAATTTTTATGGTTTCTCCTTTTTGTTGGTTTGAATTTACTCAGATCGTCTGCCTTTGTTACTCTACTCTATAAATTGTGGTCCCTTAGTTTTTGGAAGAAAGATTAAACAAGAAAATCATTGACTCAATTACAGTTTCTTGGTGGTTTGATATTCACAACATTTTGTTGTCCTGCTAATTCTCAACAATGGGATGACTTAATTTTTCCTTATGCTCTACTTTCCTCCAGAGGCCTTTTGTTTTCTTCATCCTGGATTGCTAATTCCATGTTTGTTCTTACACAGATGCATATACGCGTACACTGTTTAGAAGCTAACATCTGTTTCTTTATTCATATAGATTTTAATTATTATATGTTTAAATTTGTTCTGATTGTTTTGTTTCCTGCAGGATCAAATTGGGGTGTCCCAGCAACAAGCTTTGGTAAGTGTAACGACCGAGGCTGCTCAAACTAAGTCACATAATCAGCTTCAGTCACCTGGGTGTCTAACTTCTTCACCAGAATTGTCACCAACATCTGTGACACAGTCCATTTCATCTGCCCCAAGTCCCACTCACCTAGATAAAAAACTGTCACCAGTAGTGAACACAAATAGTGCACGTATGCCACATGTGGAAAAGCATGATTCTGCCAACCCTAAACCTATATCTTCTGTACGTGTTGTAAAAACACCGTCAACTGATGGCTACAATTGGCGGAAGTATGGTCAGAAGCAGGTGAGAAGTCCTCAAGGTTCCCGAAGTTACTACAAATGCACATTTTGTGACTGTCTTGCTAAAAAGATTGAGTTCTGTGATCACTCAAACCGGGTCATTGAGATAATTTCTAAAGGTCAGCACAATCATGATCCGCCTTGGGGAATAAATTGCACAAGGGAAAGTAGGCTTGCTTTACCTGCTGCACCTAATAGTACAGCTCATCCAGTGAGAATGCTTAATGATTCAGATCCATCCACTTCTTCAAGAGAACTAATACAAGAAACACCTGTACTACCTGAAACAAAACACCAGGACTCTATTGGTTCTGATGGAAGTACTGAGATTGACATTAAGGAGGAGCATGTTGATGAACCAGAACCAAAACGAAGGTAAGTTGCTTTGCAGTCAGTTCTCAAATTTTGGTGCTTATTTGATATCTTTCTTCTTATTTGGCAGACGCAGTGTTGTTAGGTGCATAGAATATATATATTTTGAACCGACCCCATTTGATGGGACTCAAGGCTTGGTTTGGTTTGGTTGGTATCCGGGCCAGCTTAGGTGCATAGATTGAACTGTGGTGCTTTTTTAATGAACTTATCAAAAAAAAAAAAAAAAAAAAAAAATGGACTTTATTTACATTGTCTCTATGTAATCAGATTGAAGAAAAGCAACTCATCATATTCAGGTTCTTCATTTAAACCTGGCAAGAAGCCTAAATTTATCGTGCATGCGGCTGGTGATGTGGGAATTTCAGGAGATGGCTACAGGTGGCGCAAGTATGGACAAAAAATGGTAAAGGGAAATCCTCATCCCAGGTGTGTGCCTATCTTTCAGTTTAACCTTTTAATTCTGTATCTGATTTCTGTACCTTGATCAGGCTATAAATGCTTGTTTTGTTGGTGCTCCATCTAGATTCATAATGCTGATTTGCATTAGTTATAGTCACTCTGGTTATGCAATCTCTTTCTTGAAAAGTGACTGTTCTTAGGTTATAGGACTTAACACTTGAATTTAAACAGAGTTAGGTTCAACTTACTTGTGGTGTATGGATGACTATTTTTACACCCCTTAACAAGTTTTCATGGGAGTTATAGTTTACCAAACTTGCATTGGGATTAGTTATCTTTTTTTCATGCTCATCAAGCATGCTGCATGCAATCATACAAAAAATCACACTTCAGTCACCATTTTTTTATTCTGGAAGAAAAATCATCTCTTGACACAGAACACAAATAGAAGTGGGGACATAACAAAATAAGTATATATTTTTATGCGAACAGAGGTTGATTAAGTTGGTAAGGATCAGACACTTTGCCTCCATGGCTTAGGTTCGATTCCCGCTGCCAGCAGTCCTCCTTAGTGGGCGATCTATAAGTCCAATGTAAGTCCTCACTGAGGCCTATGGCTTGCCTTGGCCCTGGACTGGGGTAGCCTCCCCTCACCTAAACTTTTTAATACCAAAAAAGAAAAAAAAAAGTATATATGTTTATATGTAAATTACAGTTACATCCAACAAATACTAATTTTGAATCACTGAAGCTGTATTTACCACTGTGATTCAATCTTTTAGATTTGTAAATCATAACAACCAGTTCTCATGTGTACACATCTGATCATGATTTTTCCTTTCCCACTTTCCCCTCTTATTCTTTGATAATAACCTCTATTTCATATTCACAATTTTGGTCTTAAATGTGACCAAAGCTTATAATAAAATCAGAATAATAAAATTATAATAAAGTATCCATATCTTAAGTTTGAGGTTCAGGGGGTGTTGCATTTAGTGGGCTCAAGTTTAGGGCACGTAAGAAGTAGCCCCACTATTAGGAAGAAGCTCTTCTTCAGTCCAATCACGGATCATTTGGGACCCTTCCCAATGATTCGAACCATTCTTCTTGTGGGGTCCATTGAGCACGAACGGATATCGGTAGCTACTTGATCGGATCACATTTGTCTAAAGAAAAAAAAAATAGACAAACTACGTGCATGAAATTAGTAATATGTGTACGTCGGTGTGAGTAATAAGTCAAAGTATGAAGAGCCCAATGCATGGCTCGCAGCACTACTCGGTGAAACCAAGCTCACCAGCTCAGCCATAGCCGACTTGGAAGCTCCACGGCTCTCCTGGACAAGCCTCCGACTAACCATGGTCCTTCAAACCTCATTCCCATAGGGTGTGTCAAGGAGAGACTAGGAGCACTGCTCGCCTGAGCATGTCTTCATGCGGTCACTCCCACTTGGCAGTAGCATAAGCCCTTGGCTTGCTTATGTATCCCTGAAGCACTCACTTCCTTGATTGAGATCACTAACTGCTTACTACTATCATAATATCACTTGGCACCTAGGCTAGGAGCATGGCCTAGGCATCCACTACTTGAGATCATCCGAGGATTTTGAATTGGAGGCTAGGATCACAGGTTTGTCAAGGTTGCTTGGCTTGCTCCCCAAGGGAAGACAACTTGTCCTTGACCAGTCTTAGAGAGAGAGAGAGAGAGAGAGAGAGAGAGAGGATGTTGACCTTGCACGAACCTCTGCATCATATGCCATGATACACCTTCGTAGGTGTGTCATACCTGCCTCTACAACTCTTATGTACTACCTTCCCAAGGTTTCAATCATAGGATTACTTTTGCTCTATCGATTCAAGGAGAACTGGCCACCTATCTATAGCTAACTTGGGCTCAAATAGTCCGGGAGCTTATATAAGGGTTGCCCATGTACACATAGTCGAACAACAACATAACACAATACAATCATACAGCTTCCACAGCTCAGGTGTTTAAGGTCTTTCACTGCCACCATCTCTCCCTCTAGGACTGCCTTGGTCTTGTCTTTTGCCGCCTCTAGCATTCATCATCTTCTTACAGGTTCACAATAGACCATCTCTCATACCTAATACCCACAAACAATACTTAGAAAAATGTGTGAAAGTTGGTCCTTGTTTTACTACCAAATTGCTATTAAAAATGATCAACTCCCACTTATGGAAAAGTGCTTTGTTGAATGAGCTCAAATTCAATATTCTAATTTATTCTCTTCATGACTACATAGTACAGAGCACCTCCCAATCCATGAGTTGTTATCTATGTTCTTCACTTTAGCCCCTTGAAGGATGTCTAACATTTTTTTCCCCCAATAATGGAGTGGTGAGGGTGGATATAAAATACAGTGAAAGGGTAAAATGTTGCTATAAAATTGGGTTACCCTTTGGATAAAAACTGTTTCTTCCAAGTTCCAACTAATTAATCTTCTCTCAAACCTTTCCACTACCAGATCCACACAACCTCTAACAAATCTTGTCCCATCATCCTCAAACCCTTCTAAGCAAACCTCTCAAGATTTACTGGAGGTCTTATCCATCTAAATACTCAAGCTGACTCTTCTTTCCTATCCCTTGACCATAGTTGTGACCTTTCCTTCCCCCTTAGAGTGAGGATTATTACAAGCACATACTCCATGGGAGATGTAAACTCCATATCCTTTATGTCCTTGTTAATAGTTCTATTAGATGGCATATCACCCATCTCCCCTTACAAGATTCTCCATTCAAAAGTAGGAAATTGACCTCACAATCAAATGTTTTCACAACAACATTCGTGTACATGACTAAATCTCTGTGCTTCGATTAAAACAGATTCCTGACCTCTACGTGATGTTTTTTGAAATATCTCAAAGATATAGTCCGCTACTATCTAAGATAAAATCAGATTCATGACATCAACTTGGTATTTTTTCTAGTATCTCAAAGATATAGCATGCTATTATCTAGGATAGTTGTTGAGCATGCCGCTCAAACAAACTCGCCAATCGCAGAGGAAATGTCTTGGTACTTAGCATCTCCAGATTCAAGCAAAATAAAAATTTCTATCTCTAATTCATGTGAGAGGCTAAAAATATTGCATTACTAGGAAATGTGAGTCTCTTCTTTTTCTTATATTATAACAAATTAAAGGATCCAAGTGTCTAAATTGGGTACGGGTGTCAAACACATATGCCACACCCTTATCTTTGCCATATCCGGTGGACAAGGTTATTTCGTGGGAAATAGAAGAGTCCATGTAACATAGTCTTAATCTAGTGTGGTAGTTGGGCACAAACAAACTTACTAATACAAGTAGGTATTATTCATAGGTGAAATAGAACTTTATTCCAACACTTTGCTACTCACACTCCCAAAATTTCGTCACCTTGTTTAAGTTTTTACAAGGAATAGAGTCAAATGAGTCTTAATATCATTAATATGCTGTGTCACAATCTGTCATTAGTAATTACCACGCATTGCGTACTTGGAACGATAGTAGTTTGACTTTCTTTCATGGAAGGCCGACTCAACTCAACAAGCCTTGATCCCATTATTTGGGCCTTGAGGTCTACCACATCAATTCTTTTTCTTACGATGGTTCTATTTGGAGCCATATATTCAGTTAAATTCAAGGCAATCATATCCTTTCTCATAACACGTCCTTAAAGGCCATCCTCGTTTTATTTTAACATGTTCTACTTGTATCAAATTAATCTTCCTTGTTGGCATATTAGTTTAGTGGTATATGTTGCATATAACCAAATAACTCTATTATTTTATTATCAATCAGTACAACATCCAATGTCCCATGGATGGATTCTTTTCTTTCTCCATCTGTTTTTGTACACCACCTATTTTCTCAACATCCCAATTTTAGGTACTCCCAACATTCTATTCAACTTTGCAGGAATTTTACCATCACAAGTTACTCTGAAGAACTTTTTCATTCCATCCATCCTGCTTCAATTCTTATTGATAATTGGATATTGGAAATGGTCACTTTGGTCATCTCCTGGCCCGTAAATTTAGTTGTCTTTTTATCTACTTGTAGATTTGCTAAAATTATGTCCTACTATTTATTGTTAGTCCTACTTAACCTAAATCATTTCAATTTTACAATATATCACGATAATTATAACTTATCATAAAAAATAGAATAAAAAACTCATTTAATTTTAACGTTTGAGTTGATTGCTATTTGTTTTGTCAGTTCAGCCTATGTCATTAACAAATGACATGCAACCGGAATATCAGTTATCTGCTACTAAGAGTGATGAGTACTCAAGGCCAACACTTGATATAATCCTGTTGTGTTGGAAATTCACTTGCTTCTTTCCTTACTGTTTTCACACTAGTTATGGTCAGTGTTACCATAAAACATTGATAGCCTGGCAAATTAAGTTTTGGAACATATGTTCCAAAATATGGTACACTTTATTCCAAAACGGTAAATTTGGCGATCCGAAGTGATTCCAAAAGTTTGTTCTAATATATTTTCTTAAGGTTTCCTTAGGAGTAAAAAAATATATATAATGACCTAAAATTTAAGGTGAGTGAAATTTTAACATGACAAAACATAAAAAATGAGTCATGATTTTCATAAAAATGTGTTGCTATATGATTAATTTGGAGAAAAAAAAAAAACTATGTTTTGTTGGATGTCTAATTGTTAAAAAACCTTCTCTAGACTAAGAGTACCTTAAATTATTGTTGTAAACTATACAAGCCTATCCCTTATCATACCATAATTTAGAGCATGTGATGTTCCATGTTCACGTTCCCATTCCCGTTCCCCGTACGGAAATGATCCACGTTCCAGCTAACATAGGTTATGGTTGTATCAAGCATACCAAAGTGTTTGGGAATGGGTTTTTGGCTTTTCACGGAAAAGCGTGTAAAAAGTAGAGAGAATTGGAACGAACCTTGGACTTCTTTGTATGTTTTTTGGCTTTGTGGCTATTTTAGCCTTATCCTAAATGCACCCTCTTGCTAGAGAAACAGTATGCAGGATAGACTCTTGGAGTCAATGGGAAGTAATGAAGACTGATCGTTGGTTGTTGCTGTTTTGTGAAGTGTTCAATCCTAAGTACAATGCTTTCTTCTCCTTGTTATTGTTATTGTCCTTGTATATCCTTCTTAGTTCTCTATCATCTCGAGTGCTCCATTATTTTCCAACTGCCAATTTGTTGGTTAGAACATCAATTTTTTTGTAAGTATTTTAACATCAATTCTCCTGATAAAACTACATGCTATCCCAATTTTATCAGGGTCATGGTCAAACTAAAGAATAAAAACTCTCATAATATGTTATTGCCTATACTTACCTTAGATCTTTCTTCATTAAAGTGTAACCGTTGTGCTGTGGTTACAAGGTTGTTGAGGATGCTATTGCAGACATATGTTTTCCAAAATAGAAATGCTTTTCCATTGTGGCATGCTAGTTTGCATGTGTGATGCTTGGAAGGAAAGAATCAGTTAAAGATGAATTTCAACATCTTCTACCCCATTTCTTATCTGACCGAAATTAACGCCACTTTTGTTTTTGCTGCTTAAAGAACTCATGGACATAGCACTATCAGGTGTTATTAGAGATTCAAGTTGGAGAGTTGTGATCTCATTTGGTCAATAAATTCACCCTATATGGTGTTGTCTTATTTCTAGGCTTAAGCCAGGTGTTTGCATTTTCCAACCCAAGTGTTAATAAACATTTTCTTATGAATTCAAGCCCGCTGGTAATTGACAGTTTATGGTGGAAGAGGTAGGGAATCTATTTTCCTTTCAGGAGATCATTTGTGGCTCACTGACTAATGCCGGGCTAGTTCTCCAGCTGTTAGATGGTGGCTAGTATAGCCAAGTCGAGGAATCTGGACACAATATTGGACACCATGATTTTGGGAGGATTGACACTGGTACTTGGTTATTCTCCTTCTTTAATTTTTTTTTTTTTTTATTTACAAAAAACATGTTTGGTGAGTTGCTAGAGGAAGTGGCTGGAGGGGGTGGAGGGAGGAGAAAAATGAAAACTCATTTAGAAAACAGGTGAACATCTTTTTCTGAAAATTTTGAAATTGTTTCCATTTTTTGGAAACAAAAACAGATATCAAACGATTTTTGTTCCAGCTTTCAAAATGTTTGAAAACAAAGTTTTGCGTCTTCATTTTGATTGCTTGTATTTTCAAAGATTGGCCGACTGTACTAGAACTTTATTGCCTGGAAGCAAGTAACTAGTGTTTTTAGAAATATCTTTTGTCATAATGTGGAATGGATTAATTTCTTCCTTTATGTTTCGGTTTTAGCTTTGGCTTTATCCTCACTTGTTTTTCAGGACAAGGGGGTTTTCTCCCCTAGCTTTCCTTTTATAGTTTTTAAATGTTGTTATCCAAAACTATATGCCTAGATACATCAATAAACCACCAAATCAAACAAAACCTTGTATCCCAATCAATTGGGATTGGCTACGTGAATCAATTTTCACCATTCAGCTCTATCATGGGCTATTTGCTCAGTTAAATTAAATAAATTCCTAATTTTTTCACTACCACATTCTATAAATTCCTAACTGTCTTTAGAAATTGAAACAAATGGAACTAACCTATCCATGTCTTTTAACAGAATATTATGTTTGTGAGCATTTGTTGACTACATTTTGTGGATGATATAATCCTTATTGATCTCATACTTAATGGGGGGGAAACATGAAAAACAACCTCATTTGTAATCACACGTGTCTGGGAAATATGATAAGCAAGCACCATGTAACTACTTACATCTAACCATTGCTAGCTAGAAAAAAGAACTGGTTTTCTTGTTAGCTGCTCACCAAATGAGAAAAACGGTGTTGGGTGAACAAGGAAATAGCATTAGCTTAAGACACTGCTCCTGAGTGTGTAACCTTTCTGAGGGAGCACCATAGGGGTGATGTGGAGCCCCTTAGTAACCAAATGGCTCTGGGTTCGAGACTCCATGGGAGTGGCACGATTCCCATCCACCTCTTTTCCGAGCCCGTCTAGGTCCTCCCATCTGGCTCCCCAGCAGTTAGGGTCTCCTTTGGTCATGTTCAAACCACCTCCTACCCTTTTTTATGAGGCAAAACCCCATCTAGAATTTCAATTTCATCAGTTGTCTTTTTTCAAGATGAGGGGATTGCAAGTATCATTAAACCATTTTGAAAGTTGGCAAGGTCCTTTTGACCAGATATATATACTTCTGATATATTTGTAGCGATCATCTTTGCATTCTCTTTCTTTTGTTCTAAAATTTCTATATATATATATTTTTTTTTCAAGGAACTACTACAGATGCACCTCGGCTGGATGCCCTGTCAGGAAGCACATCGAAAGGGCTGTAGATAACACGACTGCCGTCATAATAACATACAAGGGAATACATGATCACGATATGCCGGTACCTAAGAAGCGGCACGGCCCTCCAAGTGCTCCTCTTGTTGCCGCTGCCGCTCCCGCTTCCATGAATTTGCAATTCAAGAAAACTGAAGCAATCGCGAACCAAATATCAGCGACCCAGTGGTCAGTGGACACAGAAGGTGAATTAACAAGTGAGACATTGGATACCGGAGAGGAGAAAGCAATGGAATCGGCTCGAACTCTTCTGAGTATTGGATTCGAAATCAAGCAATGCTGAAAGCCCACATCAAGGGGGTAAGCTGGCAAGGTAAGAGAGGAAAAAATAAATTATTAAATTTACAAGTTTGACTTTATTTTTTATTTTTTAATTTATGTTTGTTTTAGTTTAGTTTTTTTTTTTTTAGTTGTGTTGTTCTTTAAGCAAACAGTTGTGTGTAAATTGGTGCACTAGTGTTGAACAGGTTGCTAGTTGTGAGATTAGTTGTTAAAAAGATTGATTGATAGTTTTGATACACCCATTGCACTCACTACCTTTGTGTTGGGTTGAAATAGATTCGAAGTAGAAAGATAGGACTACTAGGCTTCTCTACTGGTCAAATATGGACTGGACCATCCAGTTTAATTTTTTCTGACACCAGATGATAGACCTATTTTGATGATGGTTGGGTGGTGTTGGGTGTCCCTGGGGCTTACCATGACGATATAAACCGTTCATTTTGTTTGATTATGAGGGTAGATTGTATGTGAAAAAAATTTGACTGAACCGATAAACATATATGCATGTTTTGATGATATTTGTCTTTTTAGGATGACGAAAATAATTTAAAAAATAGGCTATCCATTTCTTTTAGACTCGATAAAATTGAGCTATGATTATCGAATAAATATGATTTTTTAATGGATGATCTAAATGCATAGTTGAACAAAATGAACGATTTAAATCATCGTAGTTGGTTTCCACGAGGCCTAATAGCACCTTGGACTTGGACCAGAGAGAATCTGTTCATTTTATGATGAGTAAAACTTCTTTTCCGTCCTTTTACACAGTTGGGTAATTTATTTGCACATTACAGAAAATCTCAGTACACCATTTATACTGTTTGGATATAAACTTTTGAACAAAAGTTAAAGGTTTCTATATAAACTTATGAACAAAAAGAAGTTTACGTATTTGAACAATTCATTTTTGTTCATAAATTTATGTTTGAACGTTTCTTTTATTCGAAAGTTTATATCTGAACGAGTATATATTGAGATATCTCATGACGATGTGCGAATAGAATTTCTCTCAATTGGATGATGCAATTTAAATTTGTGGGCCCATTTTAGGTTCACTTTGATAATTCAAATCATTCATTGTATAAAGCCTATCGGGTTAATTATTTATGTAAAAAATTAAATTAATCAAACATCGGCAATGACAAGATTAGATCACAAAATCATGCACACAAAAAATAATATGAAGTGACAAATATAATTTTGAAAATAAATTGTTTATTTATTTTTATGTTTTTGGTATGATTTTGTGATCAGATCTTGTAATTATCAATATTTGATTAATTTAATTTTTTTGTATAGATCTATTTGTCGAGAAATTATTGATGTAAGCGCACAAAAGTAAAACTGCTGAGTTAAAGTCATTTTCTTGGACAGGAGAGAAGTGTATATGTTTGATGATTAGTTCTGTTAATCCTCTAGGTTTGTTTGCAAATTATTTATAAAAAAATAAATTAAATTGTTTTAATAATTATAATTATTCAATTTATATAAAAATATATCATTATAATTATCGGATGGATTTAAATTTTTTTTTTAATATAATCATGTGCATTGTGTAGAGATGAATGGGGCTGCTGAAGCCGTCAAATTGTTGAGAAGATCCTCTCTTAAGATGCTGAGTTTTAAGATTTTGTTACACTCATTTTGGATGGAGAGGTTTGGTGAGAAAAAAAAAATATTTTGATAAGAATAGAAAAGCACTTCATTTATTTAGATGATTAAATAGGTGAGAAATGATGAGAGATGGTGAGAAAATTATTCTCACTGAATTTATGTTTTGTTTTTCACCAAAACTAGTGAGATTTTGTAAGAAAATAATTGGGTTTGGTAGAAGTTTTCTAAATATCAAAATTACTTTTATGAAAAAACATAACTTATTAATATTGAAGGTTATTTTGGTAAAAATAAAATACAACATTTTCCTTTCTTTTCTCTTATTTACCATATCCAAACAAAATATATGAGAAATCACATTCTCGTCTCTTTCTAAACATAATTTGTAAAAAATCATAATCATTTCTTTCTTCACTTAAATGAGAAACTACAATCATCCTCACCTCAAGATCTAAACGGAATGTTAAAGTTAATGGGATGATAAGTGGAGGATTTTTTATTCATAGGTTAGAAATTAAGTAAAATGACCCCCTTTTTTTATTCAAATGTCAATATTTTTTTCCCCTTTCTATAGGAAACTAATGTAAATCGAATTTTCAGAATGGTTGTCCAATGGACGAGATAAGGAATCATCATATATCTAACCTATGATCAATAGGAAATGATACCAAACATTATTTCATAATCGAAATTTTACATGCTTGATCCATTTTTACCTCGTGTGGAGTATGGTATTAGGGATATTGAAGCCTAAACTACATCGTTTTAGACACCACAAAACAATAATATTATTTCACTCTAATGTTGTGTTTGGTTGAGAGATTTGGAGAGGGATTTGAAAAGAGAAAGAGAAAAAGTATGTGAAATTAGGTGAAATGTAGGTATATTTTATTCACATTTCATCTAACTTTTCCCTTTCTCTTTTCAAATCCCTTCTCAAATCCCCCAACCAAACACAGCGTAAAGGCTAGCTAGTGACATGGTTTAATTTAATTACAGCCCATGGATGAAGGATATGGATATTGCTTTTAGTTTCTAATTAGGTGGTGTTTCGTAGAACTAAAAATTGAATGTTGAGTATTTTAAGTTAAAAAAATATTTGATAAAAATTTTATGTTAAACTAACACAAGTTTTTTTTTTTTTTTTTTTTAAAGAATAATTAAAACTGCATATATAAAGATAGATTAACAGAGAGAGTCTAACAGATATAGATAAAATAGCAAAGCTAATCTTAAAAAAGAAAGTGCAAACTTCTCAAACACATATGAAACTAAAATCAAGACCTCTACCATCAACTGCACACCACAAGCATCAATAATAACCTTGCAAAGGTACCAGAAAACATACAACCAAAAGAGAAACAAATGAGAACAAGAACGAGTTACTAGATAAAAAAGTACTGTGCCCAGGAGGTTGAAAAAGACTAGAGTTGTTAATGTTGTCTTTAATGCATGGCTCTCTCTAGCAATTGCAAATATCATGGTTATGGGGCTAAAGGAAGTCAACTATTGTTGCCATATCTTCCAAATCCATGTAACGATATCTTGGGGCTTGGATTCTCTTAAAAGACCGATGCTTGCGGTTGCTCTTCATGTACCCTTGAGATTGGGAAGTGTGGTTCAATGAAACTTGGGTGGGATTCATTAATGTTGTGTTTGGTTGGGGGATTTTGGGAGGGATTTGGAAAGAGAAAGGGAAAAGGTGTGTGAAACTATGTGAAATATAGGCATGATTTATTCCCATTTCACCTACCTTTTCCATTTCCCTTTCCAAATCCCTCCCCAAATCTCCCAACTAATCACAGCATAAGTTGCACTTCTACATTATGATCTTTCGATATGTAAAGTGATAGCAACATTAAGGTTGTGACATAGATTACGATAAATGAAAATGACATTCCTACCCAAGATCACATTTTTCTTTTCGCTTGAGAGGCACTTGTGGTGCCCCCTTCCCCCTCCCCCTAAGAGAGACGCGATCGAATTAAAATGAGTGAGACGGAGTGGTTTTGGTCTCCCCAAAGCAATCACCCAAGAAATCGTCGTAGTTGTTGGAGTTTTATCTTTCTAGATAGGACACTTTTTCGATATGAAACTAACTAAAATAAGTTATTTAATATGTATAAAATAAAACTAATGGAGGAATTATATGCAGGTAGGAAAAGGGAAAAAAATTAAAAATACGTGGAGGTGCAAATGTGTCTGTGGTGGGGTGCAACCGTGCAAATGAAAGGTTGTATGAGTGCAATTGCACCCCTCCGTGTGTTGGTAATTTTTTTTCTTTTTCTCCTACCTGCATGTAGTTCCACATAAAATTATTAAATTTATTAGGTTCAAATTATGTTCTAATTTTTATATTATAATGGGCGCAGCAAAGGTTTTAACGACAATAGTAATGGCCATAACACCCATGGTAGTGGAGGTAGAGGGATAGTAGTTGTAGTGATGGTGAAAGGAGTGGTAGTTGTAGTGATGGTGGAAGGAGTGGTGTACTGGAGATAGAGGGGTTAGGGGGGAGGGGGTGTGGCAATGGTGAGGGTGGTGTAGTGATAGTAATGGTTATGGCGACACGTTGGCAATGGTGGTGTAAGTGGAGGGTTGTCAGAGTGGAGATAGTGGCAAAGGCAATCGTGATGATGCTACCTTGCGCCAACAATGACAATAGTGGTAGTAGAGATGATAGTGATTAAAGGGGTGGTAGCAATGGCAGTAACTGTGGTGGTGGCAGTGGTAGCGGTGAGATGTAATAGTGGTGATAGCAACGTTATACATCGATACTTATACATAAGCCATTAATTATAAATTAATTCCACATTAAGTACAAATTTTTTAAAAAAACAATTAACTTTTAACCTTACCTAATGATTTTTACTTAACATATTCAGTTTTTAACTGATGAATTAAGTTAACCCAACCTTAGATATTAATGTGGTGTAGTGATTGTAATGGTTATTGTGGAGGCAAAATCAATGAAGTAGAAAGGCCGAGCAATCCGGTTGAGACATTGGGCCGAATAAAGATTCGGCCCTATCCAGAGGCCTTTGAAGTGGAGCACATGAATCGGCCATGTAAGGAGCCAAATGGGACCCGACATACAAATGAAAGGAGCGACTAGATAATTATATGCAAGAATAAGAGTGGGCCCGACCCTGGGCTTAGGCGTAACATAAAAAGAGAGGAACGTCAGCTAAATGGAGGTATGTGATATAACTTGTGAAAGAAGAAAACTTAAGAGAATACTGACTTGTCTATCGAAGTGCTAATTCCGGCACCCCGATTGGAGTGTTTATTTCCATTTCAAGTAATAACCCGAGGATCAAGAGCGTCTGTCTAAATCAAGAAATATTTCCAAATCACTTCACCACAGTTATGACTACACGATGCTTATGGTGGTGTAAGTGGAGGGTTGTCATAGTGGAGATAGTGGCAAAGACAATCGAGATGGTGTTGCCTTGTGACAACAATGACAATAGTGGTAGTAGAGGTAGTAGTGATTAAAAGGGTGGTAGCAATGGTAGTAACTGTAGTGGTGCGATGTAATAGTGGTGATAGCAATGTTGTACATCGATACTTATACATAAGCCATTAATTATAAATTCATTCAACATTAAGCACAAAT